GAGAATTCAGATCATCGACCGATCTCATCTGATGAGCAGAAATAAATGCCGAGTGACTTGTCATCTCACTCATGATTTACTTATGCTAATTGTCCTTTCAAGTATGCCAGAAAACATTAGCGATGTAATTAAATTACCACTGTTCCAAATGATGAAATATCAAATTCTCCTCTGGGAAATTATTTGTGCTCGGCACAGTAAGTCTGATAGTCAAATGTGAACTTCTCATGTTTATCTCTTTGGGTAGGTCTATGGAAGTTAGTCAGAGGTAATTACTGTGATGTGTCAATTTGCAGCCTTTAGCGTGAAAAATAAACTGGGGGAGAGGGAAATGTAATTTTTTAGGCTTTTCAAATGTTTGAGCCTTTTCAGATATTTAGGCAGCATGAACACCAACAACCTCTCCCATTCTATTCTAATTATATTTTTAAAGAAGAAGAAACGTACCGACACATGCCAGGCGTGTTGAGTACAAAGGCAGTTGTCGTCGTGCCAAGTCACAGCATAATTGTTCATCCTGAAACTTTAATGAAGACAAAAGTTTGCTTCGGTGATGTGATCCTGTAGCTCGAGTGCTGCTGGTGAGCAGTCCCTCTGCACCTTGTCTTTGAGGCCAGAGGAAGTTAATCCAAACCAGCAAAACCGTTTTACGTTTCCAAGAGCCTCCCCAGGATCAGATAGTGCAGGAAGAGGCTTTCACGGATCACGAGGATGCTCATCCCCCGGGGCTGCTGGAGTTTAATTTTGGATAATACCAAATAACACCAGTCACTGATGAGACAAACACGGCAGAAGACTTCTGTGGCCATTTCAGGTGATGTCCTGGCTACCATGCCTGTCCTCCCCATGGCAGAGCATGCAGAAAGGGGGTTCCTCAGCCCCCTCCAGCAAGTTGGGTGGCTCAGGCCAAGCCCCTGACTATTTTTTGGTCTAAGCTAAGCCAGGCAAGAGCACACTGAAGCCCACAAGGAGTCTTCCCAAGGTCTGTCCTTGGGAAGCAGAGGTGGGATGTGGGAACCTTCAGCCAGAAGCCAGCAACTTGGTCCCGTGTCGCAGCCGTTCCTGCGGTGTTTGTGACCGTAGCCATAGTGATTTAGCAAATTAATTTGGCAGGCGGATTGATGGCGATGTGAGTTGTTGTGGCTTAATGTGCCTGTCCAGAGGAGCAGAAGGGTTTTAGAGGAAGCAGCCCACTCTGATTTGGACTATTTGGTGTAATTTATAATGATGATGTAGCTGGGAGAGATGGGGGGAAGTCAAAATTGGCTGTTTGTTTTATATGAAAAATCCCTCGAGTTAAATGGAGAGAAGATTCAAAATCTGTGGTGTAACCACTGAGTTAGCACAGGGTTTGTTACAGGTACGATGATTCGGGATGTTGTTGTGAGGGTGGATACTCCCCCCTTTTACATAAAAGAGCAGGTACTCGAGGTGAACTACCATGAGCAAGCTGAGGTTCACTCTCATTGAAACCATTTTCCTTATTTTGTTGAGAAGTTTCCTTTAACTTTAGGTAATCACGAAGTGCATTTATCCTGCTGGAACCATTAGTGGGTGTCCGTTAATAGTGCCTGGAAGAAATTTCACATTTTCAGTGGATTCCCACTGCACTCCTCGATTCGCCAAGCGAAGTGTTAGTGGAACCTTGATTGCAGATGCACAGAAATAGGTCCAGATGTGGCAAATTGGAGAATTCTTAACGAACTGCCCTTGGTGCCGAAGCATCCAAGGTATGCAGAAGTTAAAGACAGGTAGGTGACACGTGAAGAGGTACCCTCCGAAATATTGTATGGAATTTATGAACAAAATGCAATGATTCCTCTGTCTGATTCTGTTTTTATAACCATTGCATTCCTACTTTAAGATGTTGCCACATTTAATCTATGGAGTTTTACACGGCTATTTATTAGCCTATTATGCACATACTGTTCATATGCATAAAGAATAGAATTTACAGGCTGAGATATTTTGCACTTCTCATTGCTCAGAATGAGGGAGAACATTTTCTGCTTCTTGTAATTTGCACTTTGTGTGTTGAATATATTCCTGCCAAAAATTATATTGCAACTAATTGATAAACCAGTGACCATGCGGAGAAGCGTGTGCTGTATGTACAGGACCAAGTTAGATAATTAAATTTGCATCACGCTTGTCTGGGTTGAGGTGTTCTGGTTTGTTTAAAACTTTATTTCTGCGCAAGGGAAAAAAAAGGCAGTTAAACCTCCTGATTGTATGTTTACGTATATCAGTCAAATGAGACATTTTATGACTTCAAATATTCTAAATAAAGCTTGGTTGCATAAGTAGTCGTGCATTTATTTAATTTTTTATTATTTAAGTCACTGTTAAAATCTGTCCCATGAGATGTCTGTTTGCTGTCCCAAGTAGGGCTCATGATTGCCTCCTTAAGAAGGTGATGGCCGTAGGAGCGATGGAAGATGCGGTGACAGCCAGCCCAGGGAGCAGGATTGCTCCCAGGTGAGATGGTCACCAGCAGAAAGCCACAGCCCCTCATCCAGGTGAGTAGATTTTAACCATGGGAACACCAACAAAAACTGCTCGGTGGAGAGACCAAGGATCTGGTGCGCAGGCAGCAAAACCAGGGGATGAGGGTGAAGGTGCCGAGCGATCGTTGTTGTGCCAGGAGGAATCAAAATCAGGAGGATGCTTGCAGGAGCATCCGTACTGGAGGCATCTTGCAACCCTTCCGAGGTGCCACTCACCACCATTTCAACTCCTGTGTGTTCTCCTGCCTTGGTTTGAGGCCTCAGCTGTCAGAGCCTCTTCTTTTCGAAGGGCCATTTGTTGTTCACAGCCCCTCCATCGGCTTCCTCACCTGGAGGGACAGGGTTAACCTGCAGCTTGCAGTGACACCATCAAGGATAGCTCGCCATCACCAGGAGCCATCCTAGGGCTGTCTGCGTTTCTTGCCTAATTCTGAAAAGGACAAGTTTTGCCCATGTCTAAACTTCTTGCAAAGGCTGGCATTGAGATGCTGTGAGTTTTTGTGTCTTCCCCACCACACGATCTTGGGGAACAAAGTCTGTCCAGGCACGGTCCCTGTTGCCAAATGCTGAGCTTCAGAAATGCTGGTGGCGGTGCTGGGGCAGCGACGTTGAACTGTGGTGGTGGAGGGGGGACTCTGTCACATTGTGCTGCCGCATAAGGGATCGCTGTAATGCCTCTAAATTCCCTGTAATTAATCAAATGGCGATTACCACCCTGGAAGTGTGACATATAGAGAGCCTGTTGGGGTAATATGATTATGCCGAGATGGAGTAGTTAATGTACCTTCGCCTGGAAGAGCTGGAATGAATTAATTTAACGTTACACATGTATAAAACATTAGTTTTTACAGTTGTGCTGAGCAATGATATATAATTCCATTACCGTCTTTCTCCACGGTTTCACCCTTCTACATCCGTAATGTAGCTGTATTTACATTCTGGTTAAACACTGTCACGGTCGTTGTTTTTCCTTTTAGCAGCAATGGACATTTGGTTCCCGAACAGGTGCAATCCTGTGATAGTTGGACCTTTTAGGATGGCAACAAATCAGAGAATCCGTGTTCTGCAGCATCCCAAGCAGAAAAGGAACGAGGATCACCTTGGCTTCGCCTCCAGCCTCATCCAGGTGGGCTGAAGATGCTGTGCCTATGACTGCTTGATTGAAATTCAAATCGCATCCCAGTCAAAGTAACTGTACCAGTTAAAACTGTGTGGACGTGTGATTTTGCTGTGCTTCCATTGGGGTACCCCAGGCAGGATGCTTTTCCCTCCCATCATCTCCTCCAAACTGGGTTTTCTCTCCAGAAACGACCCGGTGCTGCGGTCGCTTTTACAAACTCCCCAGCAAGCTGCCACAAGGAGGAGGTAAACCAAAACAGAAGAGGTCCTCCAAGGTCTCGTTTTTCTTGAAGAAAATGTATTTCTGAGGGGTTTTACTTGTTTTCATTTTGAATGGGAACGGTCTCTGCTGTCTCATAAAGCCCTTTCTTGGCTTTTTAACAATTCCTTTTTTAACGCCTTGATGTGCAGGTACAAGGGGCCATCTGTTGAAACTAAACATCAGTGTGGAAGATTGGTTTCTGCTGGCACTCTAGGAGCTCATTCACTGTAGGTTCTGGTTTATTTGCATGCAGCGGAAAAGGAGCTGCAAATAAATTCCCCTAAAAAGCAATACGCTATCCTGCCCTCCTTTTTCCTCCCTGCCAGGTGGGCTTTTTTACAGACTCGTTTCCATTCAAGGAAAAAGGACATCGGATGCTTTTGTGCAGGGATGCTCTTAAAATGCAAAGACTGGCACCTCCCATCCTAGCTCACAGGGCAAAACCTCATTCCAGAGCCTGACACCTCCTTGCATGACCCATTGAAGGATTTGGGGGACTCGTGTATCCCTCAGCAGCGATGCTGCTCCACAGAGGACTTTGACAGTGCTCACCTTATGAGATGGGGAGGATTTGTGCAGTGGAAATGATGTTTTACAGTGTGTTTTAAAATACTGTTGTTTTTCTGCATTGAGAAGTGGGGTAGCAAACAGGGACCATTGGTGTCTGTGTTGCTGTTACCCTGTGCAGGGTAAAGCATAAGCTTTC